ATATTTGCCGAAGTCAAGTTTTAAACGAATATTGCGATCAAGGGAAGTACCTAAGTTAGAACAACAGGTTTAGCTAGAATTTAACGTAACTTTGTGCTGGACAATAGTCCAAGTATTTTGCTGATTTATCTGTCTTTGAAAATAGCTACGATTTATTTACTTAACACTATTATTTACCATATTTATTACAATGAAAATGTTATTCTAATCTATATAAATCTATAATTATTATACACTCTTACTCCCGGCGGTATAGTGGCCGTAGACGACTCCGTGGCGCAGTGGCTTAGCAATGAGTTGCTGCGCTGGGGGCCGCGGGTTCGAATCCCGCACTGAACATGTATTTGTATGGCTTACAAATAATTGTTCCGGGTTTGGATGTTTGTCCTTGTGCAATTTGTGTTTGTAAACTGCCTCCACGATACAGGAGAAAATCCTAGTGTAGGGGTAACGTTTTTTTTTAAAGAATAAAAGAAAGAAAGAATAGTGCACATGAAAATTGCCTGCGTTTCCTCGTTGAATGAATCGCCTTTGGGCGAGAAACCGAACCAGCACTCTTGTCTCATGTGGCGATTACCAGTCGCAGATAAAGTTCCTTTATATATTTCACCGCGTTTAGAACCCGATAGTCTCTACAGCACAAACATAATACAGTCATATGTCATAAATTCATTTTTGCGTCAATTACTCAGTTTTTCGGTTACTGCCTCTGATACCGCTTTGACTCTATATTATGTACCCCTGAGGTAGCTTCCCACACAAGGAATTTTGCCCTCTCTCAAAGGACTTAGGTAATAGGTACCGTGCCAAAGTCTTTAAATATTCTACAACGCTCTAAAACTGAAGGAAAATTATCCGAATAAAATGATCCGTGACGGGACGATATACCAGAATATTAAATTATAAAATGTAAATAGTTAATAAGTACTTATATGAAATGAGAAGTCTTTATATTTCTACGTGAGAAATTAAAAATTCGTTTGTCAAACGTCCATATGTTTTTAATCTACTACGGTTTCAAAATGAGATTCCTCAGTCACCAATGATATAGTATTCTTAATGAAAATTGAAAATGTGTAGATATATAGGTATTAAAAGCATGTTCTATTGTAAAAATAAACAAGAAAGCAAAAAAAAAAACATCTATACAAATAAATAAAATAGGAGTGCCTGTTTGTAATGTCAAAATTACAGCTTTTTGCTAAATGCTTGTGAAAGTATATACGGTACTAATAACAAAAATACAATTTTTAGAGGTTTTGTATGTCTGTTTGTTCCGGCTAATCTCCGAAACGGCTACACCGATTTTGACGGGATTTTCACTGGCAAATAGCTGATGTCACAAGGAGTAACTTAGGCTACTTTTATTTTAGAAATAAAATTAGGGTTCCATTCAAAAAAATTAAAACCCCAAATAACACGCGGGCGAAGTCGCGGGTAACAGCTAGTTGTATATAAATGTATTGCAAGCCTTAGCAGTCCAGTTGCCACATGCAGCACCTGTTTACCAATATGTGGTACCCATCGTCCCTACTCGGCCATATGATCATATACATGATCATCTACAAGATCATCTACGGATTACATTATTAGCGACTACAAATAAACTGGCTATAACACATGCGTCATTGTGTGTTGCATCTTTTTTCTTAAGTACGTGTTAGAAAGAGAAGGAAGGAGCAATTGGAATGGAAGTGATGTGATGCGCGTTATGGGACATATAGTATAAGATAGGTTAAATAAAATTAACTTAAAATCGTACTAAATAAACTTTTTTTATATAGGATAGGGTGACAAACAAGCACACAGTCCACCTGATGGTAAGTGGTTACTGTGACCCATAGCCATCTACATCTATCCTCAATATAGACTTAAAATGCAGATGCGTTGTCACCCGTGAGGACTAAGATGGAATGCCTCATTTCCAGTAAAAAGGGTCCCCGGTTCTCTACACTCACCATACGAAACACAGCTGCATTAAGCCGCTATTTTACGCTGGTATTCTGTAAGAGCGTGGTCCTTCCCCGGTCGAGCCGACCCATTCTTGCTACAACTATACTACTAATATAGCTACAGCATAACTCTACCACGTTAAAAACCTTAACAATCTACCATAACCTTACAAAGGTAATGGTAGTTTTTAATTGTTTTGTCGCTGTTCGAGCCGAGGTAAACTTACACGGAGTTCGTCTGCCAAGCAACAATGAACTTGATTTGCTTTATTCCGCTTCCACATTCTAGTCTCAGGGTGACGGTTGCAATGCATACAACTTGGGTCTTCCCTAATTCAAATAGAAGGAGTCTTAAGTCGTATGTTGTTATATGTAGAGAGTAGCAGATGCGCTAACTGCTCTTCTTTACACTTAACTCTCAAAAAGCCCTGAATACTCAAAAGTAGGTAAGTGACATACGGCAGCAATATATTTTTACGTAGCAAAGAAGTCTGACTCGTATAATTTTGCGAACCTAGCACCACGCAAAAAAGCACGTCAAACCGCTGCTGCTCGGTCTCTGCGTAAAGGAGAGACAAATCAAATCACGCTAACATTTTTTGTGCATTTATTAGTTTTCTTTTATTAGTTTCATAATTTTTAATAATACCTTATAATTATGATATTTACAAGTTTATTTGTGGTTTAGAGCTTCTCTGTAAAAAAATCTTTGACGTCTTTTAATTTTCTGGTTGTAAAATGTACTATTCTATCAGAAGCTTTAACTCGTGATAAACCAACATATATAAGTGTTCATGACATAAATTCTCATGTGAGAATATTTGCTCCTGGTACTTATTAATAGTCATCCCAAGATTTTTTTCGCAGGTAACTGGAGTTGCTTGAAAGACATCAGCAGAATCATTGGAATTCTCGGAATGTGCGTCAGCTGACCAGCTTCTTGTCCGATAAGGATGGTTGCCACAATTATTAGTAGTTTTGTGTCAGCACATGCTAGGTGGGCTTAAATTTCTAAAAAGCATATTAGACGTACCGATTTTGAATAGTAGTTTACGAGGTAAACATCTTCTACTAATCCAACGAATTAAACAAACGCATGAATAAACAATATGCATTTGACTTTTGGAATAAACTTGAAACAATTTTAATTAACCAAGACACTGAACTAATCTCAAAGATTAGTATAGCTGCAGCGTGGCTCTACCGCGTATAAACGTCTTTTTGAACAGATATCGTTATCGTCGTAGTCTTTTTCACAAGCCCGTTAAGGCTTCTGTTTAGGTCTTACACAAAGTACGATATTACGTTATTTATGTATTAAATAAAAACTTTGGAAGTTTTTATAATTTATAATTCACATTTCGCTGTGCTAGATTAGCTCATATTACAAACAAAATTCCCATCTTAGTAATAGTAAGTGGCTATGTGACCCAAAATCACTTCACACAACGAAAACTTACAGTTACGTTGCCTCCAATCTTGTCTGTAATCATACTAGCTGGTAATCCTTCACAAGGAACACGACAGTGGTCTATTTAGCAGCAAAAAATAAAGTAAGAGTGCGGTACCTACCCACACGGTCTTCTAGGTAGAAAAGAAGCCTTGCCACCTTTAAAAAAAGAGTAGATAAAAAGAGAACAAAAAAATAAAGTTATTTAATGAATGTTAGTACTTAGCCGTGTTGGACAATGCATCATTTTGGTTGATTTCAATTAAAACGCATTAATAAACATTTTCTTATTCGCCGTAGTTTTAATTGTGTGAATCTTTAGCAGTATTTTATCTTTATTTATATGTAGGCAAACTTTTGCAAACAAGCAATTAAGTCCTTCACTGCTGGCCGGATGAGGAAGCTCAAGGTCGCTCAGCGAGCTATGGAGAGGGCCATGCTCGGAGTTTCTCTGCGTGGTAAACTTAGAAATTAGGATATCCGCAGTAGAACCAGAGTGACCGACATGGCCCAACGGATTAGTAAGCTGAAGTGGCAATGGGCCGGCCATATAGCTCGAAGAACCGACAACCGATGGGGAAGAAAGGTTCTCGAGTGGCAGCCTCGTACCGGCAGGCGAAGTGTAGGGCGTCCCCCCACGAGATGGAGTGACGACCTGGTAAGATATGAAGGAAGTCGATGGATGCAGGTGGCTCAGGACCGTACTTTGTGGCATTCTTTGGGGGAGGCCTATGTTCAGCAGTGGACTTGTGAAGGGCTGTAATGATGATGAATGATGATGAAACTTTATTGGTATATATAAACACAATTGAGGTATCTGTCTTTAATATAAAAATAACTACTTTTTATTGAGTCTTAGAGTCTGAGAGTCTTAGTATCGTGCAAATTGGGTTATTTGCACGCTACTAAGATATGAATAACAATTTTTAATTTTTTTATCTGTCGGTCTGTCGGACTGTCCGGGCTAACCTTTGGAATGGCTGAACTGATTGTAATGAAACTTGACGAATAGATAGAGCGCAATAACATTAGTGATCTAGACTTTATCTAGTCTGAAGAAATTGGAAGTTTTTTTGTAGCGACAAATAGCAAAATCGATTAAATAAATAATATTTGACAATTATCTTAAATCTAAGTAACGCCACATTCATAGATCCAGACGAAGCCGGGGCGGATCGCTAGTAAAGAACAAATGTAATCATTCTTTATCATTTATTCATCACTGTTCGTCAAAAGTCATTGCTGAACTTCTCCATAGTTAGCCTCATAAAGGGGATATTTGCAATAATGGCCACGCTTAGCGGTCGGTACAGCAGTATTTTTTTATGATGCGTTATTATCAGGAAGATGCTGTTGTCGACTTCCTCTTTCAGTTTCCCTTTGTCGCCTCTTCCAGCACCAATAAAATAATAATATAGCGTAGTGGGTTTTTTTACACCGCCACATTTTGGGGACAGCGGGAAATAAGCGGGACTGCACAGCTCAAAGAGAGACGTATCCACCTTAGTTATACCCAAAAAGCTGTATACTAATAGTCCATTAAGAATAGTACTAAAATAGTAAATGAATAATAGTTCTCTGTTGCTCTCAGCTGGAATATGTACTCCGCGTCAACAACATCGACGACCACGTCGGGATCACGTGGCGATACTGCTGCGGGTTCGTCGGAGCGGCGCGTCCGCGTCGTGCGTTTGCTGAGACCGCGACGGGCAGCTCCAGCGTTCGGGTTCTCCTTGCGCGGGGGCCGGGAACATACCACAGGGTTCTTCGTATCGAAAGTAGATTTAAACTCCGAAGCTCATCTTCAAGGTTTAAAGGTTTGTTTTAAGTTTACTCATAAAGACGTTTTTATTCATCGTAGGTACGAGTACGCACTATGACGATGCATCAGATGTCATTAATAATTGAATCTTCTATAAAGTCATCTAAAAATATCAAAGAAGTAATATTTTGAACAATTAAAATGTATGAAGTTAAAATACAATTCATGTTGAGTATTAAGTTGTATTGAACATTGAGTTGTATGGTAGATATCGTAAAGACTTAATATTGGTCTAATAAATTCATTAAGTTTACTAAATTATATTAAATATGAACAAAGTTCCTATCTTAGTAATAGTAAAAATAAATATGATATTCAGGAGGTTTTTAATAATAAAATATATAAGGCGCTTATTTTACAGCAATATATCTATTATCGTCACTGCGTTGCTAGCGATACGTTTTGCTAGCGGCGAAAATTATACAGCACCTAATTTTTAAACTTGGCGCCTAATTAGCATCTAAAAAGCCCCTAATTTGGGATTTTTCTATATGCAATTTTGATTCTATTCTGATTTTCAGAAGAGAAGACCTGATTTTTGCATCTGCTTTGTTCTGAATAACGACTTTATTTTTATTAGGGAAGCCTTGTCATTGCCTGTACTTGCATCACTTAATTGCTTGCTAATAATATTTATCGTATATCTTTTATCGTCACTGCGTTGCTAACGATACGTTTTGCGAGCAACGGAAATTTCAACATTAATTAGTATATATAAATTAATTAATTATCACCTAAAAAGCACCTAATTTTGCCTATTTTTAATGCAAATTCCTGACTGCGTTGCTGGTGTGACACAGCTCTAGTTAAGTCCCACTTGAGTGTGACTTAAACGTGGTTGTAAGTCACCGTGTACTATAAATAATATTTATTATTCTTATAACTGAGAAATAGGTCAAAATTTTGCTAGTACGCGAAATAGCACTAATATTTGGAGCACTAGCACTTAAATTTTATTATCTTATATTTTTAAACATTATACATAATGTCTTATTACAAAACGTGGTTTATTGATACTCTTGGATTTAACCTAAAGTTGAAAAGGCGTTTTTTTTTCGTATAAGTAGCCTCTTAACCGTGGCACCACAGTTTCCGCTAAAGTTTAAAATTGACATTTGCTGTCAAATGCCGTACTTATACGTATGTATGTAATTACTCTACATTTTAGTCTCAGATTTTAATTCGCATATTTTCCGCGGGACCAACAGACTTTAGTTTAAATCGAAAACTAATTATGCATTACTATTAGTAGTTTTATGTATTAGTAGTTTGTAACATGTTTGTAATATTGGCAGGGTTGACGATCGCGTTACCAGACATCTCGCAACCTTTGTCTTTCAATTAGTGTATTGTATTATCTATACCTTTGTCACTACTCTCCTTTGCAGGTGTGGGTATTTGTGGGAAACGTCAACATAACCTTATTTATTTAACTTCATATACAATTTAATGTATATAGACGGACTTAATGCCTACCTTAGATTAGTGCAGAGATTAAAGAGGTAGGTGTAATAAGAAGTTTATTACGTGGTAGAGCCATGCTGCGGCTATATTAGTAGTATAGTTGTAACACGAATGGGTCGGCTCGACCGGTGAAGGACCACGCTCTCACAGAAAACCAGCGTAAAATAGTAGCTTAACGCTGCTCTGTTTCGTATGGTGAGTGTAGAGAACCGGAGACCCTTTTTACTAGCAAAGACACATTGCATCTTAGTCCTCACGGGTGACATCTTGAGTCTATATTGATGATAGATGTAGATGGCTATGGGTCACAGTAACCACTTACCATCAGGTGGACTGTGTGCTCGTTTGTCACCCTATCCTATAATAAAAGTACATAAATTCAATAGCATTACAGCTTAAACAAGGGTTACAAAAATGAGTTCTCGGTTACGATATATTTCTTCAGTTGTTTACTTTAACTTTTGCGATAATAACTGATAGAATCAACGAATCAATCAAATGTCAATTTAGATAACATAATATAAAATAAAATAATACGGTGAAAGTAATGGAGAATAACGACTATTTCCTAGGCCAGGTAACGTGCGCCACTATTCAAAAAGTATTTATATTCACTACGTTTTACCACTATAGTGGATTCCATTCGGCAAACACGTCACTTTGCCTCGATGTATACATATATAGATGTATACATCGAGGCAAAGTGATACAGCATTGATTTCAAATATAAGTCAACGGCATACGGTATTTTCTTTTTAACTGGAGTAAACAGGCGAAATCTTGCACCTAAAATTAATTATTTATTAGTGTAAGCGTTATGTTATTAAACTACTACGGATGATTTCAGCAATAACTTTGAAACATGTTACACCATAGAGATAAAATCCACTTGTTAACGTCGGTTTGGGTTCGCAGTTATTGTGTAAGTTCTTGCCAAATTTTTTGCTCAACAACTTTCAATAGAGTTATCTGATTGTCTATTATTTGTTTTACTTCGATTCAAGAGAAAATCGATTCTTTGTCGGTGACAATTTGTATGTGTCATTTTGCAATTTCTCACGTTACTTAAATATCTCATAGCTGGGCCTATGCGAACACCTCTAACAATTTACTTCGCAGTAAGCATGTTGTCGGCTTCACAATTACTTGAGTCCGAGGTTGAACTGTTGCAAGACGCATTCCATTCTTTTATTCTTTTGAGTGCTCACGTAACACAGTTCTTTCAGAACGAGGGCTGCCAGGTGTTTTGTGTTCATTTAGACAATTCGTGTGTTATTATGTGTGCAAACAATTTAAAAAAAATTGAAAGTTAAAGTAACAGCCTATATGCGTACCTATCTTACTGCTAGGCACACTCCTCTAACTTCTGAGAGAATTATTATGGTAAATTGATTATTTAAGATTTAGATTTTATAGTTAAACGAGCTGACCCGGGAAACGTTGTTTTGCCATATACATTATTCCTAGGAAATATTTTTTTGTTTTAAAAATCGCGATTAAAAAACAGGGGCTGATCGTAGAAGGGTGAAATTTGAAGTTTTTTAATGCTTAATAATAATAAAATAAAAATAAAATAAAATCTCAAAATAAATAAATAAAATATTTAGGGGTGGGTCACCCTTATCATTTAGGGGTTTGAAAATAGATGTTGGCCGATTTTCAGACCTACCCGATATGCACACAAAATTTCATACAAATCGGTTGAGCCGTTTCAGAGGAGATTGGTAACAAACACCGCGACACGAGAATTTTATATATTAGATTACTAAACCAATTTCTTTTATTTTGTAATAATACCGTAAATGGGTAAATTTGTAAGAATATCCACTACCCCATATCGCCCCGTGGGTGTTGTAAAAGGGAAACAAACCAGGAGATGGGCTGCAGCGTTTTGCGTTTTTGCCAACCCGCCTCCCAAGTTTGGCAACTATGGAAAATATCTCCCTACGAGTATGAGGCAATCTATGTTCAGCAGTGGAGTTTGATAGGCTATAACATTAACGATTTTGTAATAACAACTCTTCAAGTGCTTGACTTCTTAGGTGGAAGTTTGTCAACCAAATTGGCGATATATTGAAAATAAATCAAATTAAGAATATTACCCTTAAACGACGAGCATGTATGTGTTTATATTCCTCTGATTCATTCATTATTTCTTAAAGGTAAATTTATTTACTCGGAATATATGTACTTATTTAGTTTAAAAATATATTATTGTATTCATATGTTATACTCAGCATAGTAACTACTAGGATTTCAGCAAAACAAACGATATTTTCTTGATTCAATACGATAGCGATAGCAATGCACTGAGTCCGGCATAACGCGCCGATAACAATACGAGACTTTTCTGTTATTAGATGCGACGCGACAACTGATGTCATTGTTATTTATTATACTAGTAAAACATCTCTTAAAATATTCGCATGCAGGAATAAACAAATAAATAGTTGGTGTGCGGCGGCCGCGTAAGAGAATCCAATCTTTTGCGTCCCGTCCCGGGGATGTCATAACATTGTTTTTTTTTTATAAAATAAGGGTGATAAGCGAGCACACAGTTCTGATGGTATGTGGTTACTGTGGCCCATAGACATTTACATCTATCCTCAATTACGTATTAATATGCAGATGCGTTTCCACCCCTGAGGACTAAGATGGAATGCCTCGTTTCTAGTAAAAAGGATCTCCGGTTCTCTATACTCATCATACGAAACACAGCAGCGTTGAACTGCTATTTTACACTACTATTCTGTAAAAGCATGTTTCTTCCCCGGTCGAGCCGACTCATTCGTGCTACAACTATACTACTAATATAGCTGCAGCATGGCTCTACCACGTTAATACAAGAAAAACCTTTTCAATAGATTTCGGTAGAATAGCATAGAATAGAATAGAATAATTTTTATTCAATATTGATTACAAGTAATTCTTATTGAAAGTAATTTTTATTACATTACCACTGGTTCGAAAAAATCCTCTTTCCTGGGAAGAACCAGCAAGAAACCCAGCAGGACTTTTTTTAAATAAATTTTATAATATAAATGATTAGAAACTATTTACAAAATTTATTTTAGAAACAGCTTGGAAGCGACCACCTCATTCCCAGGGGTTATTATCAACCATGTATTAATTTATATCATAATAACCCTTTTTATACAGTTTTTGTTTAATTAAATATTTAAACTTGGTAATAGAGAGACCTAGTATATTTTCTGGGACTTTGTTGTAATAGCGTATACATTGCCCCAAGAATGAATTACTGACTCTGTGGAGTCGAGAGACTGGTATCACTAGCTTGTGTTTGTTCCTAGTGTTTACAGAGTGTATATCACTTTTCTTTACTAAAACTATCTTTGTTTTTGTGAACATCATTAAATTTTCGTAAATATACCGAGAGTCCCAAGTTAATATATTTATTTCTTTAAATTCTTTTCTAAGAAACTCTCTCGGTTTAAGGTTGTAAATACCTCTTATGGCCCTCTTCTGCAACACAAAAATACTTTCTAAATCAGCCGCATTTTTCCATAGCAA